CGCGAAATATTGAAACTATAATGTATGTTAGCAAATAAGTAATGTAGACTTCTTAATAGTAACTTTAAATACGTCTCAATTTACAGTTAATTAATTCTCGTTCGCGGGTAAATAACTTCTTACATTTCTATTATCACAAAGGTATTCGTCGTTATCGATATCGGCAAAGCGAAGAGGAAAAGAAAGCGATCATAGACATTACTGGACATGATAGGTCGAACCTCGACTAATTAGTATCATGAATTATTCATATCGTGAGCTGTCGTTTAAAAAACATAACGATGACAGAATATAACGAGATGCGAAGGTTTTATTTGCGTGTAGTAGCGAGAAATAGCAGGTATTAGGATCTTCTTTCGAAAAACGCTGGGTACACGAATACCAGGAACATAATAGATGTTGCTGGATAGAATTAACATAATGAAACGATCGTAAAAGTCTACGTCTCTGTTATTTTCACGATTCGCGTGGATTCTCGCGTTTCAACCATGGCATTCGTGGCTGGAATGTCTGTCTTTGCATAAGGTTCATATGACACGGTCTTAGAGCTAGCATAAACGATCCTCTACCGTGCTCATGTTGTCTGGTTTAGACTTATCGTTTTATTTATACAACTAGCGCTGCAAAATTCGCAGTATTTAACAACAATGCCTTGAAACAACGCATAATTTCTACGTTTTTATCTAAACATCGGTAAATTCGCTGCCAGAAACGCGTAAAACATAGACTCGATTGTCTAGAACACATTAGTCTATTCGATTGAATACACTTTGATTAGAAAAGAGAGCCTCAGAGAACGCGGTTCTGCGTTTCCTCGGTGCACGATTAGCGAAGTTTATTTTGGCTCGCGAGCGAGTATGATGTCATCGTTTTGATTGCTACTACGATTAAGCGACAAATGTATAACTTAAGGCCAAATGGAGTCAAAGTGCAGCCACTTTTAGTAGCGAATGTTATTCTCGTATCTACTAATCTTCGAACGCTTTGCTAGAAAGTTTTATTGACATAAAATCTATCTACGGATCATATGGAACAGTAAATTGTCTGAATGATAGATAAATAACAGAAAGTCGTAAATATGTCGATAATATATCGATTGATAAATAAGAAGCGAGTAGAGAGAAGTACGTTAGAGACACAAAGGTATATCATTAAAGACACGATTAGTACAGGAACACGAAACTGCTTTCAGGTACAACGTGAAAATCGTACATGCGGTGCACAGATACCTTTCTTCGTGACCCCGCGTAGATCCTTCCGCTTCGGCTTTCCTCGTAAAGTTTACTTGCACTCTACCTTTCTCTCCGTTATTCTCCTTGACCTCAAAGACGCGCAATCATTCTTCGAAACTGCGAATGGTTGTACCAGAGTCCGTCGACGGGTCGACGCAGCCGGTAGATCTTTCAGAAGCGACTGCCTCTCCGTGAGCCGGCGAGTTCCGCGTGATTCGATTCGCGTGCACCACGTTTTTCTCCTTCGTTTGCGGAAACTACGATAGAACTGATAATCGAACGAACACGAATCGTACTTAACGATGAGTGGAAGCTTTCCCGCAACCGTGTTATAAATAAATGATCTCGAGTTCGCCAACTATATCAGCCGATACACCATCGACCGTAAACGAGGACCGACTGGATTTTCACGTGTGTTTATCGATCGGCGCACACGTATACGTCCAACAAGAGCGGACCGTTCGCGCGCGAGCTTCGAAAAGCAATGCAAGCGCGAACGACACGGGAGCCTCTCGTTCCTTCCTACGTTCTTACGTCGATCTCGCTGCTGTTTCTGTCTCCCTTCCGATCCACTCCTCCTCTCTCTCTCTTTTTCTCCTACCCTGCTATCCTCCTCACTCCCGTTCAATCATACCTGTCCTCCGTCTCTGTCCCCATTTCTGACTTTTACCATTCTCTCTCGCTCTATACCGTGCTCTTCTGCTCTCTCTTCCTCTCGGAGAACTTTGCTCGTTCCAGCGTGCTACGCTCTTTTTCTCTCTTTCGAACTCGATCATCTTTTTTCATACCTCTCCCCCTCCCTCCCCCTCATTTCTTTCGTTTATCCCTCTTGTTTTCTCGTTACCTTCCTCGTCTACTTTCCTCGTGTCCTTGCTCGCTCTTCTGTTCTTCCTTCTTCATCTTCCGCAGCTTCTTACCTATATCTTCGTCACGCATTTTCATTATCGTTCTCCTCCTGTCCCGATCCTCAACTTCTCCTACCATCGGAGTTTTCCCCCTTCCAACGCTCTCATCCCCCACTTTGTCGGTATACCTTGCTCGCTTTGCGTCTCCTGCCGGCCACCCACAGTCCTCTTTCTCTTTCTCTCGTCTTCTCTCTCCGTTTAACCGATGCTTCGTCTTCCTCTCTTTCTCTCTTTCTTATTTCGAACTTCGTCGATCTACTTACATTTTTCTTGGCCAATCGCCCTCCTCTTCCCACAACACGACCTCAAGCTTCGCTACGTGCCTTCCTTGTTCGCCAAAACGCGCTCGCGGGGGTTCCACTCATCACCGTTTGATCCACAATTACTATCATTTAATACGTCCGCCGGCCTTTTTTATAGTTCCCTTCACGAAACACGAGCCGGGAAGGGCCAGAAACATATTTTGTCTTTGAAACGCCCGCAAACGTAGAACAGATCGGTTCTATTAGCATTCAAAGAGCCCTACCATAGCCTACTCGGTAAACAGAGACTGGTAATATATGTCCATAATGTTTATTCGCTTGATAAACGGTAATTCACATAAATTCGATAGCTTGTGGTTTCTTCTTTGAGTCTGATGATGCTTTCTAGACGAGATTAGCTACACACATTTGTACACATTATATAAACTTCGTGGCTGGAATGTTGGATAGCGGGAGGAATGCAGATTTGATTGGTTTATACTAATAGGATCTTTTTTCGTTACATGATTTAAAAAAAACGCGGCGTGCGTATTCTTTCTTTATTGAACAAAATGGTAGTTGATCAAAATTCATAGAACTCTATTTCTAATTTTTCAGTAATCAGCATTTCTAAAGATACATTGAAATGTTTAAAATAAAATTATACACTAATTAAATTGTGAGATATTAGATAAGATATTTTAATGAAAGCGGAATTTGATTTTTTACGTTTCTAAATTTAAAATATGGGCAGAAGTCGATGATGGTGCAGAACGATTAGAAAATCGGACAAACGTTATCGAAAGTGGGTGTGACTCGTCAAATAACCTTGGATGGATTATCACCGAAAATTTCGCAGCAGATATAAACGTTGGTTTCGCGGACGTGAACGGCGCATTATTTTTAGTGCGTTCAAGTACGACGAACAAAATCGAAGGCGACACCCCTGTGTATGTCTGCCCTCGGAGTCCTCGACAGTCCCCTCGAGCACGATAAATGATTTATCTCCGTGTCCCTCGCCGTTGATCCCCGTCGTTGGTGTTCGTGCCACGGGGGAACGGACACGCGTCCAGCGGTGCTCAGAAAGTCACTTTTGCGACACCCACGTGCCGACATAAACACGTGGATACGATACGATTTGAGCACTGTCCATCGGAGAATCAGCGCAGCCAGCCTGTGGTGGCCGGACGTACGCCCATGAGACGATTCGTTCAACAACCACTTCCTTTTTCCACGTCGCTTTTAAACAGCTCCGTCATTTAGTTTCCTGAATTGCCATGCGCTTTGTGACTATTAAATGTTTCACAAACTAATTTCATAGGGAATTAACGATCGATTAACATTTGTACCATTTATTTCCACAAATACCCTCATATGCCCACGAAACAGAAAGTAGAGAAAATTGATAAAATTATATAAGATAAGCAATGCTTTGGTATTATTTCAAAATTATTTCAAAAAAGTTGTAACGTCGAGTTATTTAACTTCGGCCTGAGAACAGCTCATTTCTTAATTTTATTCTACGTCGCGAGTAAAAGCATAAGCTGAACAAGTTTTATATCGTGAAATTTGCAAGGAGGAATTCTGAGGAAGGTAGAAAATATTAAACGATCAACTGAAATTTTAAAGTCTGAAAGAGAGAATGCAATAGATTTGAAAAGAAATAAACTTTGTGTCTATTAAACGTACGAAGAATTTCATGGGAAATGATATATATCGAAGAATCGATTGACATTCCTCAAGTTGTCCCAAGTTCTGAGAAAAACTGGACGAAGGAGATTAAGGTTCAATTTAAGTGGAGTTATCCACTTAAGCTCGGCTGGCTTCGATTTGTTTCTTTTAACGAGGAATTCCTTGGTTATCTGCGCTAACGGGATAACCAGGAGAGGGAGTTCACATTTTATGTCGCCTTCACCCTTTTTTCCTCACTCGATAACCATGGAATCGGGTGAAGATCGTAAGCTTCGAGTGAATCTTAATTACTAGGAACGAAACCGGTACGTATGGTTTGCAAACTTCCGACGACCTTACGTTTCAAAGAAATTATTTCAACATCGAATGAAATACTCATCTCACATCACGCATATTTTTAGCATGCTCCGATTTGCGTAAGAAAAATAAATCTCGAGAGGATATGTTTCACGATCCTGGAAGATCGTTCCAAACGAATCGACTGACGGATGCAACGAATACGCAGCATCATCGTTTAATAATCTCTTGCGACCCACGCGAATATCGTAGACTGTTTAATCAACCGCCTGTATATCGGCTGACTTTGATCTTCATCCATAGATGTCGGTTAATGTATTCGATTATTGAAGACTAGCCCGAGATATTGCTGTAGGCGTCCCTTCGGACTGGTTTCCGTCGATTAGAGCGGAATGCAGAATACGCGTGCATTGTTAATCGATTCTCCACGCAGAAGTCTCGATACCACGTTGAAAATGCATCCGAGAAGCATCGAATATATTCAGAATTACAGAACGTTTGCAGTTCAACGTTTGAAGAGTTGTAGTTATGCGACAAGTCGTTTCGTGACGCAGTCGAAGCCAATCGATTCGCGATCGAACACCATGTACCCATTAATTCTTTCTCTTTTTTAACGTTGATCGTCTTTGCAGGTGAGTGCATCTCGTTATCCGGTTGTGGTGAAACTCGGGCACGCCCACGGTGGAGTGGGAAAAGCCCGTGCCGAGACGAATCAAGAGTTTCTAGATCTCGCCTCTTTGGCTGCTTTGGCGAACACTTATTGCACGTCGGAACCGTACGTCGACACCAAATACGACGTTCACGTGCAGAAAATAGGCAATAACTACAAGGCGTTCATGTGAGTGCCGCGAAATGTCTGCCAGATCGATCCCGTGATCTGTCGTTGCAAATGTTACCGAGTAGCTTGTCAATGGGTACTACGGTTTCCCCGCTGTACAAAAATGGAAATTAGAACGCGTAGCTTAACTCTCGGCTGGTAAGGTGAAACGTAAGTTATGTAACGACCAGCGCCGGGATCGTTTCAAATCCATTTATTTTTTTCACATTTTACGTGACTGAATATGTAAGCATATTTATGGTAATACGCATTGTATGACTCACAGAACAATACAGGATCCTGCACATTGTCATTCGATTCTCGAAGCAGGATCAAGAAGTTGTCATGTTACACCTTTCTAAATATATCTTTTTGAACGATCGAAACTTTAATCCATCCGCCTTCTATCAGTCGAGGGTTAACCAACTAGACAATTGCGACAAGAATAGCAACGTATTTAATTAACAACCACGATCATTGACGTTCCTCTCAGGCGGAAGAGCATAAGCGGAAACTGGAAGTCTAACACCGGTTCGGCGATGTTGGAGCAATTAGCCGTGAGCGAAAGACATCGCACCTGGGTTGATCACGTGGCCCAATTATTCGGTGGATTGGATATCTGTGCGATCGAGCTGTTGGTCGGGAAGGATGGTCGAGAATACATAATCGAGGTGAATGATAGCGCGCTGTCGTTAATGGGAGACTCACAAGAGGAAGACCGTCGTCACATTGCAGACCTCGTCACCGCGAAAATGCAGGTAAAAAGTGATCCGAAATTTAATATACTTAGACTAAATTAATTAGTATGTAAATGTTATAATCAGACTGCGGGTTTGTATATATTTTAAAGTGCAAAATTGCACAAAATGCACATAGTATGAAAAAAATATACAAAATATCTAAAATAGAGTACTTTCTGTAATAATTGGTAAAACAATTTTCTATAGAGATTCTATTTTCTTAATTGTATTTTCAAAAATATTAATTTACATAAAAATTCATGGTCTAATTATAATAAATACAATAATGTACCAATACCACTTTTAGTCACTATAAATTATAAAAATTAATAAGTCGACAAATTTTTATCACATGATGCATTACTTTCTCCAATATCTAGGCATGTTGTCGACCTCCAAGCGTGTTGACGAAAACGACATCCAGAGGATCGATGTCTGGCTCCAGTCAGGCAACGAGTCCTGTAGAAGATCGCACTGTGCCACCAACAGCTCCGCTAGGATCGCATGGAAGCATGGGGTCCATGGCTAGCATAGGAAGCTTAGGTTCCATGGGCTCTACGACAGCAATGGCGGGTGATGTAACTAGTTCTGACAGCCACCATCAATTGCAACGACGCGATTCTCAAGGTTTGTAAGAACTATGGATTCGGTTTACAATTATTGAAATATAATTAAATCAAGGATAACTAAAATATCGAAATATTTATTTATTTATCTGCAGCATCGCAATCGAGTACAGTGAGCAGCGCTCCATCGGTTGGTCGACGCCAAGAAGATGTTCCAACATCGAGAGTACCTTTCCACAGACAAGGCAGCCAATCCCAGAGCGAAGACACCGAAGACACCATGAAGAACCTTCGGAAAACGTTTGCAGGAATCTTTGGAGACATGTAAATTTTTCGAACGAAAGTGTACTGGAGCAAAGGAGATCATTTTAGGATTATCATCAAATTTAAGTTAGTGAACAAAAAGTATTTAAAATGTAAATGAGTTAGTTAATATTTTTAACGAAAGATCGTATTTTTTATATAGCTTCTTCATTATCAGTGATGTATAGGAATAATTTTGCAATTATAGGATTTTTGTTAAACAGTTGGAAGATGTATTTAAATTAATTTGTCGAATATGAAAATGTACTGGAAAGGAATATATAATATAGTCGATATATTTGTAGATCATCAAGCTCATCTAAATGACGCTCGCGTCCCACACTGGACGCCATATAACAATGTAAATTTTGCTAACGGTCCACGGCGATGTGTATAAACATAAACATAACTTAACTTTTCGTTTTTTATCAGTTCAATAATTCATCCGTTTCTTGCCATTCGATTACGTTGAGCGATGGAAAATATCGTTGGAAATTTATTCTTCTAGAATTCTTGCTAATCGCGTTGCTATTACTCTGTACTTGATTATTAATCGATATCGCGTATTCAACGCATCGGTTGCTATTCAAATATTAACTACGTATTTTCGATAAGGGGAGGGTAAGTAAAAATTAATGGGGGATTTAAAGAAAGAGTCGTGGTCGTTTATGTATATTAAAAAGTAAAAAAATAAAAAAATCGTAATGTAGATTCTATGTATTCGATGTATTCAGCATTTACATAGTGGCTAGGGAAAATTCTCTCAGGTTAAAATAGTAAAAAAATGAATACTTTTCCAAGTGTCCAGTTATGTTTCGTTACCATCGACGTATCCGTTCTGCATACTCGTCTCGTTTACGGGGAACGCCGCCACTTGGTTTTTCGATTCCAACAGGCAACAGTACCATAGGCCCCTGTCATCTCCTCATCCGACTTTACTTCAGGCGTCCACTTTTTAGGCTTAACTTTCGATTATAGCATTGTCTAAAGGCGAGGGAACGGGAATGATGCGGAATGAAAAGAACGAGAAAGCTGGAGAGAGGAAAAAATGGAAGATGAGTTATAAATTTAAATGGCTGATGGAAGTCCTGCAGTAAAATACATATTTGTAAAATTATTAAAAAGTATTTGTAAGCCGACGTCATTCAAAATGATTGAGGAAAACAAAAAAAGAGGAGATTCGGGCATTATACTGAACATTTGGCTAGAGAAGACTTCGGATCGATCGCCCGGCACTCAATGCCGGGCCAATGGAAGAACAAGATCGACCAGTCTGTATCTTAAGCGCACAAATAGTCATTAGGATTTCGAGACACGGGCAGTACTTTGACATCGTGCATGTGAACAACGCAAACGTTTGGTCTAATAAACGGGACTTATGGTGAGGGAGAAATGAAAAAAATTCTTCTGCAGAGTCGCCGGTTCTTGAACAATGATATGTTTCGGCCTGCAAAAAGTGTAATTCCTCGGCCGGCGACCTTTCGATTTGGATTATTCAAAATTCATTGTCTCGAATAGTATTGAGCATCTCGATGTTGAAAACTGTCCTGCATTCCGATAACGAACTGTTTCTTTTTCCTAAATTTTCACGCATTTGTAGGTCATTTGTAAAGGAAAAAAGGAACTTGCTCAAGGCGACTTGGCACGCTTGCTGAAAATTCATGAAAAAAGAGATGTTCGTTGCTCCGTAGGCTTTAAGAACAATTACCGATGAAATCAAAATGTAATAAACGGGTTCGTGAACTAGGAACGGGAAGCGAAAGGGAAGCGGCCGCTAGTTGCCGCGAGAATGATTAAAAAAAAAACATGGGCATTCAGTAAATCGCGATTCTTTGCGATCGTGCAAAAAATCCGAAGCACACCAAGCAACCTTTTGATGATCTGCAAATATAATCGTGTTTGCTTGCCTGAGTTAACTTGATTCTACTGAAGCTCCTTTGATTCAGTACCCGCTGGAGAAGGATCTGGATTTGCGAAGTAAAAACCAATCGACGAAAGCGAGAAGAGAAAACGAAATGTCTTTGTCCAAATTTTTCTTTTTTTTATTATTTAATTTGTACTTTACAATTTGTCCAGCTGGACATACGGTAAATTTTTCTAGCTTTATTGCTAAATAACATGTGGATGGCTATCCCCAGCGGGATACCATCTTCGAGTTTGTCTATTGTATTCCTTTAGTGAGGTCAATGGAGTGTTTTCTCTTTAGTCTTCTTTTTATGAAAGTTTTGCTCGCTTCAGCAGCTACCTGGTTTGGATATGTTGCCGTTCTTTCCTTGTATTTTTTTGCGTACCTGCCGATTTCTTCTTTAACCGTTGGTATTTTTAAGTCTTTGCGTATATCCTAGTTTCTGACATACCATGGGGAGTTGACTATTGTTCTGAGTATCTTCGATTCTAGCGACTCTAGTTTATTTATGTGGCTCATTGCTGCTGTTCCCCATAGTGGTATTCCGTACGATCAAATTGGTTTCATTATCGTTTTGTAAATTTTTAGTTTATTTTCCATGCTGAGTTTAGAGTTTCGACTAGTTAGGCAGTATGTTGCTTCCATGTAAGTTGTGTGTCTAAGTGGAGTCCTAGGTATTTGACTTGCCTTGTTCGTGTTATGTGCGTGCCATTCAATTGGATATTTGATGGTTTCCGTTTTCCTAGTGTAAATGTAATATGGTTGCCATTACTGGGGTTTGCTATTATTTGTTTATCTTGTATCCATTTTTCTATTTTTGTGATATGCTCTTGTAGTAACGTGACTGCTGTTTCTGGATTAGTGTGCCTGACTAGTACAGCCGTGTCGTCTGCGAATATCAGTATTTTGCTGTTGATAGTTATTGGTACGTTGGCCGTGTATAGTGTGTATAATATTGGTTCTAAGACGCTTCCTTGCAGTACCCCTGCGTTGATGTCTTTAACTTCAGAATATGCGTCCTTTATTTTTACTACAATTGTCCAAATGATCTCAATTTACCTTAGCGTAAGAGCTAATAAAGGCATTACGACGAAAGATAGACCTCGTGGTGTCAGCTTTGAAAAGAACTATAATAAGTTCGTCCGTTTAATATTCTGTTCTAATTTAATTTCACATTTCGATTATGTGACTTTTGTCAAAGAGGCACTTAGGAAAATTAATTTTACTTAAACCTACGTTAGTTGCAAGAATATCAGGAGATCCCGGGGCACCCCTGTTGTGCGTCAGGCTAGCCATCGTGGAGTTTTAGTCGGTAAGTCCGACACTGCCCCGCTGCTTCCCAGAAGAGGCGAGGTGTCCATGACGATTTCCTCACGTATAAGAAAGAAAAGTGTAATTTGTTCCGTTTCATAGCGTTTCAAATATAGTCCCAGGGCATCCCTGACGTTTTTGTCGATAAATCTGACACTGACCCACCGTTCCACGGAAGAGCGGCGAGGTATCTATGACTATTTCCTCGCGTATAAAAAAGAAAATGCTGCAAGAATATAAGGAGGTCCCAGTGCACCGCTGGTGAGCGTCAGGCAGGCCACCGTGAAGCTTTAGTCGGTAAGTCCGACACTACCCTCCCGCTTCCCAAAAGAGCGGCGAGGTATCCATGACGATTTCCTCACTTATAAAGAAAAAAGTGTAGTTTGTTCCGTTACATAACGTTTCGAATATAGCCCCGGGGCACCCCTAGCGTTTTTGTCGATAAATCTGACACTGCCCCAACGCTGCACGGAAGAGTGGCGGGGTGTCTATGACTATTCCCTCGCGTATAAAAAAAGAAGTTGCAAGAATATAGTAGAGGAACGCATAGGATCGTAAAAGGAATGTATTGCCTCTTCTCGTTCTGATTTATTGTCTCCTATTATCAACACATTGCTTTATCGAATTTAGGAATATCAAGTAAATGAACGCAAAGACGTGAACTTGATCAATTCTCTATTGCACGACTAATTGATCGATATTCCTGTGTGTGTATATAGATGTAAATTAATGCATTAGTCATTTGTTAGAAGATACATGGTACACGAATTTAAACGATTACAAACGGTTACATAGTGTTACAAACGGTTACATAGCGTCACAAACAGTTACATAGTATTACAAACGGTTACATAGTGTCACAAACAGTTACGAATTAATTTCCAAGTAATAGACGTCCAATGGTTTGGTTTTTGAAGTGCCTTGAATACTTAAGTGCCCTTCTTGTCACGTTTCTTGCCCATTCGAAGTAGTCGAAGCGCGTGTCAACGTGCACTTTTTACTATGCACTTAACCATGAGAATCTCTCTGTTGTTTGTACTTTTTATACACTAAACGCGTGCATCGTTTTACCTTTTCGCATGATCATCTCTAACGAGCTGCTTATTGATTCATCAGGCACCTCGATACCGTGGATAAGTGCAGGTACACCGTCCAAAGTATGATCAACAGCGAACGAAGACGTTGGTATCACTCGAAACGTCAATCGATCGAACAAGCGAACCTATTATCGTTCGTCGATATTCGCGGTAGCTCGATACTACGACTTTATTCTTTTTCGTTCCTCAGCGTTCGCGATTTAGTGCATTTAGATTTACGTTCTTTCACGCTTAATTCTTATTTAAAAATTATTTATCATTACGATAGGCAATGACACGTAGAGAAAGAAAATAGTCTTAAAGAGTGTTTAGAGTGAAAGAACAGTGAGAGAATAGAGCAGAAGCTTCTGGAATTAATGTTATAAAAGGCTGTCTAATTTCGCGACTTAATTCAAAAACTCGCTCGTACGTACGATCTAAGTAAAATCAAACTTGCAATAGATATCGTGAAAAATAGATTATCGGACCTACCAACATTGGAAAAAATAGTACTTTAAGGGATAACTAAATAAGAACATGTAACAAACAAAAAATCCTGGACAATCTTCGCTGCTGAAAAAGTTGTAGTTGCCCGATAAAGTACAAAAATTATCCTCGAAGAACGAAAGCTGTTGCTGAGACTGGCTTTCAGAGCTGACGCCACGACGCATGAGGAGAAGCGAAACGCGAAAGCTTGATAGATTCGTTAAGATGGATGCATTCGATCCGATACAGAATCTGTACTGATACGTAGACGCGGTTAAAGATAACGAATATCTCAGGGGTGCAAGTCTAAGCACAAGGTAGGATAGAAAAAGATGAGATAGAAGAGACAGTTGGGTTCAAGTGTTGTTGCTGCCTAGACGAATTAACGGCATTGACTTTGATACCTACGACGACTAGTCACTTAGCAAGCACGCTTCTTCGGAAAAATCACAGCGATTATCCATTTAAGGATAGAACTTGTGGAATCGGATCCGCAAAACGATCATCTACATTTGTAACTATTTGAAAGAACTTCTTTATGCAACGTTACAGTGTTTTGTACAGATGTGTTAATCGCATATTTGTCGATTTAACGTCAATTCTTACAAGCATATCAATCATTTCGTTGACATTGACAATATTTGCTTGAAACGAGTTAATGTTTAATTTAGTTTTAATCGTTCAGACTTTTAAATTTACAGATATAATTTGAAAATAATTAATTATTCGTTAAAATTGAATAGATGATCAAATCAAACAGAACACCAAACACAACACAGAAATCACATTGTTAGGCATTTCACGCTGCTTGATCTTATAAGAATCTTCGATCGACGACATTGTAATTTGTTCTAGTGCCCGTGTGATGTAGTGAGCAGCACTGTTACAACATCTTCCCATTAGTTTTAAACGTGTTGATGTGTCCACACTGCGTTTGATTTCGTCGCAGCCACATGTCAGCGTAATTTGGCAGGCTAATATATTCTTTATTCCATACGAAGACTCGCATCGCTTCGTAAATTCGAGTCTAGTTTAAAAAAAAAGCACAGTGCTTTTTCGCGCCGAATTTTCGTCATTCAATCTCTATTTCCTTTTTGGCGGAAGTAATAATATTACTGCTAGGCTAATCTTACTTAGGATCCTTGCATCACTGTAATACCGTTGTTGGTTAAGATTTACCATTCTTAGAAATACTTTCAAGGTCGTGGAACTAATTTAGATGTCTTGGATAACGACATCGTATAAGGTAAGCTCCAACAGAAAAATAATTAAAAATGAAAAAAAAAAAAAAACGGAAAAAAAGAAAACGAGAAGACAGGCTAGGCTCGATGATAACGCAGCAGTAGTGTAATTTTGTGTTACTATCGTTGTTTCGTAGCTTTTTTCATGGTGCTTGAATCACCGTAAAATCATGTGGCGAAGCTTCCAAATGCATTCGATCGAATAGCCTAGAGTTACACTATAGAATATGGCAAGTGACAATTCTAATCATCTCGCCGAGTATCGAAAAATATCGAGCATTCGACGCAAAAAATCGGGGCCAAATCCTGTCGTGCGCCAGTCGAATTAGCGATCTTAGCTCATGGCATTCGCTGTCAATTTAGTGCCTCGTTACTTTCCCTTCTTTTAGCAATTTTCTTTCTAGTAACTTCGAGTTCAAATCATGTCGCAATATTCGTGTCTATATAAGTTCACTTATGCCTATATTAATAAATTCCTTCGGTCGCGAATCGAACAGAAAGTTACGCCACGATCGAATCGTTCCTTTTCCTTATTCGATTTGAATGATGCGTTCGCGAACACCAATAATTTTCTTCCACTTTCTTTGTTCCTTATCGATACTTCTCGGCTCGTGAAACGAAACACCAAAACACTATACGAGACTAATTACAACGAATATATGGAAGGGGTGAATATTATCAAGCAACTTTCTCATAGGAGTAGAATCTGGCTGGCTAGACGATATTTCCGGATTTCGCCTCGATCAACGCGAACGCTCGTCCTTCTAATTATGATTAATCAATGTCTATGTGTAACGAAACTTAAGGTAATAATAATAGTGTTAACAATAACAATCGTTAAGGTGAGATTATCATAGTAGGCTAGTTAAGAATACGGTAGGCTCTATATGTAACCGTATGTTACCTCCTTGATTTCAATGAGTGCTAGTCACATGTATTATTCCCGGGGCACTCCTATTAAGCATTAGGTAGGTCACGGTGTGGTTTTAGTCGGTAAGTCCGACACTACTCTGCTGCTTTCCAAAAGAGCGGCAAGGTGTCCATGACTATTTCCTCACGTATAAAAAAAGGAAAAAACGTTGCAAGAATATAAGGAGATCCCGGGGCACCCCTGTTGAGCGTCAGGTGAGCCACCGTGGAGTTTTAATCGGTAAGTTCGACACTACTCCGCCGCTTCCCAGAAGAGCGGCGAGGTATCCATGACTATTTCCTCACGTATAAAAAAAATGTCACATGTATTATAATTACTTAACACTCGTATTCTCAACACATGAATATATAAACACGACATATTATATATACACATAACATTATAACATAAACAACATAACATTCTATGTCTATTATTCTAGGAATGTATTAAACGACGTTGTAAAGTGTAAGGGTGCTTCAGGTCTAATTAATTGTAAATCGATCGGAATGCTATTGTAACCCGAAAAGAAAAGCGAATACAGTTACGGAAGAAAAAAGAAGAAAAAGAATAAAAATGGAACGTTCTCGTGCGACTAGCGCTACATTTCGTTCGGGAAATGGACCGGTGTCGCTTATCGTCGATTAATTTATACCAAATCTTCGACTAGAGTCACCGTAGCACAGGACGTACCTTTGTTATGCCGATATTCGATATCAATTGTATGACAATATAAGGTATCACGAGTAGAGTAACGCGCCACGAGCGTTCACCCTTCTCGAACGAGACAAATGTGAGAGAGTAGCAAGTTAGTACCTATTAATCTCGATGTTCCCTTTCGCGGCGCGCGTATCCTAGATGCGTCGCGAAATCATTTGGAACATTCCTCTGAAACAGCGCGCGATCCAACTATCGAGATCTTTGCAATTCATTCGTTGATTATTTCACTAAAGAATCATCGCTTTACTGAACGATCGATCTCGATAGTTGGATCGCGCGTACTGTTCGCGGTCGCCCCGTCGTCGATCGCATTTGCTCGCTTATTTTTCTCCCGTGCTCATAGTCAAGGCCGCTTAATATTGATGACGGGTGTTTTAAGCGTGTGATTATAAGATATCAAGTGGACAACGAATCATCGCGGTCGAGTGGGCAGCGATCACGACGCGGCGTCTCGCCGAGATGATCGCTCGAATTGAACACGATTATTACGAGTTCTCCGATCGTACGACCATTTATTACCTTTATCTAACCGCCAAGTATAAGAGAAGAAGGAAAGAAGGAATGTTTAAAGACTAAAAATGCGAGTAAAATGCGAGTTCTATCTGTCATCGTTTTAGCTGTTAAGGATTCATCATCAAAGTAAATGGGGGTAGTTTTAATCCAAGTAAGCGTACCACGTAAGCGCAGCACATTGAAAAAATACGGGAAAAAATAACAAGTAGTACAATGTATAGGTTTGTGTATAGATACTCGAGGACATATGTAAAGAGGTATCGGTCTTGGGGCACACGTCGAGCGCTCGTTACCGATCCCTTCCCATTGGTTCAACGTTGAAAGGTATTTACGGACGAAAGCCTAACAAGATCGTTCCTCTAAGCTTCTTGAGATACCACGGAAACGTTTTCGACCGTTTTCTATTCACTATCCGCGAGTAATCGAAGTGCAACGGCCCTTTTCACCGAGGGATCTCATGATAACCTGGGGTGGTCGATAGGTAACGAGCACGCCGTTTCATGGAACATCAAGAGAGTCTTCCTCGCGATGGCAAACGACACTCGACGCTCGGTGATCATTTTATGGCCTTAATCAAATTTTCATTAGGGGTCAAGTGTCTTCGTAATCGCGACATCGCGTTTGTCGCGATAAAACGAAAAAAATGTCTATGACGACGATACGAATGGCCAACGCATACCAAACGGAGTACGAAAAATACTGGTGAATATTGTATTAAATTCAGTGTATTTTGCGAACTTCGTTTGCGATACCGATGGGCCGATGTTTTGTGCTAACTTCGTGTAAAATTTCGATCGACGCTTTAACGTGCCCCACGACTCTTATCGACGACTGATTCGATTGATCTGGAAAGATTTTATACCGATTCTGCGTCGTTCTTTTTTGCGCGTTTCTTCACACGAAACCGCTGAAAGAGTTTTGATACATGACGCAATTGTGGAAAATTTTTCAACGAATGAAGCACCGAATAGAGGAATTTTTCAAGAAGCAAAGTTACATATGACTGAATAAGAATGAATTAAAGGGGCCACGTGAGGAAGAATAAACTGTCGCGTGTTTCTGATTATTGTGATCATTTCTGACTATACTGGTCTCATGTCATACTATCAAACATGAAATATCTTTATGGTGTCTCCGTAAGACGATCGACGTGGCCTGTTAACAAACGAATATGGACATACGTTACAGAGTTTCTTCAACTAAAATCGTGTATTCATCCATTGCATACCAACAGAAAATGAAAAATATTGCCATATTGGACTGTGAAACGTTGTCAAAAACATTTTCGAAGTCGTCATATGGTTGTTAAGACATTGTATTAAAAGTATTAAAAACTCTTATATATATGTTGAAGTTATAATTACTTCTATGATGGTCATACCAAGCAGCGTAATAGATGAATGACATGCGCTTAAAAATTATAAAATGTCGTAATTACTTCCGAGGTCGAGTAACACAGAGTAACTTTCAGGCCCTGATTATTAAATCCTAAATGAAGCTGTAACGAAAACAAACGTTAGTGAAAACAAGTACGTGAATGATAAAACCCAGTTGTCGCGATCGTATGAGAAGAAGAACGACTTTCGATTCTGTGCTAGATTTCGGGACACCGTGTAATTCTGCGTAGCTCGACTAGGTTCTCGTTGAAATACGATTACTGCGATACGTCAAGCTAAACTGTAACAATAAAAACAAAATAAAATATTATACTTCTGACTGCCGTCAATCTCACAACCTCATCACCAACTAATTTTGAAATATTTTTTAAATATAAAAATTATCAAAATAATTTCTAGATATAAAGACTTGAAATATCAAATTATACTTTCTTAAATATTAAATACGATTTAATTTTTAGCGCCTTTCAATGCACAAGCTTCACATTTTTTAAATTTATTGGATACATTATATAGTACACCATCGATATGAAACTACGATTTACTTTACAAAAGATACTGTGATTTAAACAAATTGAAGAAAATTATCGTTAAAGAGGATGTGCAAAAAAATTAAACTATGCTTTTATCCAGTTCCGTATTGAGCGAGCAATTACGGTACATGCCACCACGGGCCTGGTTGTCGCTGAAACAAGTATTTCGTGGATAATAAGAGGTGGGCACGGTGTGAATCGTCGGTGCGTACCATCCGTAATCCATCGACGTGCTCCTGTAACAAGGATGCGGAGGCGGACTCTCGTCCTGTCGGTATCCTTTGAACACTCCTGGAAAAACGACTTCTATCGGATAAACTTGTACTTTACCCCTAAATAGATGAATGCAGTGTAACGTCTCTGTTTCGTTGTATTAGTATATTTTCCAATACTTTACATAAATCATCGTTAACAAGCATATCCTATATAACTAAAAATTTGTCAAACGACGTTTCGGATACAGATTCGCGTTTCCATATCGAAGCAACACTGTTCACTCTGTAAACCGTATTTTAATGAACTTGAGATTCGATCTCTGTGCACTCGTAGGGCAGCTGATACTCGACGTTGCTGCATTGAAATCGTCCTTGCACTTTGGAAACATTATCAATAGTCGTCCCGGCTATCTTGAAACCTGGGTCGGTGGTAACATTCTTCATCTTGACGAAAGCGGACATGTCCACAAAACGCAGTTCGTTGCTGTTCAAGAACAGAAGCAACAAATTATCCAATCCATCGAAAGCGTCCCCCTTCAGCATGATAATTTGATTCCCGTTGAGCCAAAGAGAATTTAAGTTTTTCAGATGTCGGAAAATTCCTCCAGACACGTTTTTCAATCGATTCCGTCCCAAATCTAGTTCGTTGACTTCACCAAGACCACGAAAAACCTCGGGTTGCAGGGACGAAATTTTGTTTCTCGACAGATAGAGGAGATCGATGTGAGGCAGTCCATTAAACGCTCCAATAGGTACCTCCGTGATACCGTTACAATCCAACGCCAAGGTTTCCAGGTGTCGCAGTCCTCTGAATATGTTTCTCTTCAAGGCAATATTGTTGTTTGTGGCGTACAATTCACGAAGATCGGTGAGACCCTTCCACATTCCAGGTCGAAACGCAGTAATATTATTGTTATCCAGCAGCAACGTTTCTAGACTGTGCAATTTGGCAAAGGCACCGTCTTCTATCTCGGTTATACTGTTATTCTTCAGATCCAAATACGTCAGTTGGTCCAAACCAGCGAAATAGTGTCTAAAAATTGTAGACAAGTGGTTGTCACGAATGTACAAGGCGGACGAGTTGCTGACTTCGAGAAAAGCGTCCTTGGCTATGTCGATGATCCCAAGACCCTCCAGGTGTAATTCTATGTCCTCGATCGTCTGCACCGCGTTGACATCCTCGAACGCGACACTGTATAACACGCTGTTGGCCAGACAAACGTAAAGATGGTTATAAACTTGGCAGTCGATTTCCTCCGCGCGAACGTCTTGAGTGGTGACCGATAAGAGAAGATAAACGAGCAAGAGGAAGCACATGGTGTGCTCAGATGCTGGATACGCACTGAACGCGTGGAAGAGCAGAGTTTCGATGTGCAGCCAAGGGAACAAACCGACGGTTACCGTTCGACAGATACGATTGGACAAATATATCAGCCATACCGTGTACAGTATAACTCGACGATGAAGTTCAGTTCCGCAGAAATTGGATGTTTTATTCATTTTAAACACACGCCCCGCGGTTGCCCACTTTAACAGTGGCTCTGTGTCCGCGGATGATACGGTTACATAGCAACGTTTCATCTTGAAATTCAATTTTATTGAAATCAACGTTTGCACATCGATCCAAAGTAGCTGTTTCTTCGTAGCTGATATTCAAATTCATAATTTCCACGAAGTTAGAGAGATAAGGACCCTTCGCGGGAACCCTGCCTGCATTTTTATCGATGCAACGTTATGTGTTCGGTTTGCGTATATGAAAACTGTTCTTTGTCGCTGTTCTGGAAACATGGCTGGGATTTCAAAGGACACATTTATTCACCGTCTCCCGCAATCTCGTGATCCGAGGTTTCGCGTCGGGCAAGTTATTTTCCTGTAGGATCGTTTCGCATTGTTCGAGACACCGAGAAAGACGACGCTATAGAATTTTGAATCTAGCGTTCACAGTGTTACGCCGATGTTTCACGAAATGAATATTCGAACCAGAGACGAACGTGTTCTTATTTTAAACAGATGATTTACAAATGAAAATGTTAAAGCGACGTTTTTAATATCCGAAAGCGTCAGATACACGCTTCACTCTTATGGCAAAAGAAACGTATCTGAGAAACATGGACGTTCACAAGTGAACTTGAGCGTAGATATATGTATTTCGACACGCTTCAAATCATCTTTTTTCTTTTATCGCGAAACGAAGTTAATCTCTTAAACGGAAAATACATGAAGTGACGGAATCGCGTATATTTTAAGCAAGACGTATCTTGTGAAAGGTTCCTGTGACATGTGCAAAAATGTCTGTATTACCGATAAGCTTCGACGAACGTACCGATCGTCAACACTGACTTATTAATAGCAGAATGTTATCGTTTTAGTACGAAGAACTTCTTGTCGTGTAGTCTACCGCGAAATGAGATGTTTTCACGACACGCGAAATCAATCTCCAAACCAATTCAACGAACTTCATAAAACGTTTGAGAGAAAAATTTTCGTTCAAAAGAATAAAATAAGATTAAAAATATCGATTGATGTGTGGAGAACCGATCTGGCCGTACAATTAAGACTATGTCACTTGTTAAATATGAAAAACGTCACGTTAATAAATTATACAGACTTACGTGGGTACATAAATCGTGTTGGAAGATTACAGGTTCGATAAATGTCATCGGTGCGTGGACCGAAAGAAATTTCCTCTCCCTCCGCATCCTTCTTTTTTTCTTTGCATATGCACGGCGTTTTGATCATTTTAGGATTACGAGCGGCTCAATCGATTCGTAAACGTATCATAATGCTCCCGAACAGCAAAACATAATCTTCACAGAACACAGTGAAAATACGCTGCAATTTCTGCTGCGACATTGACTATAAATGTTTCGTTTCTATGGTGACTGTATCTTGTACGCGACATTGGTATCGATCAAACGGGCATCGATTTACGTTGCTCGGTCAACTTCTCGGTCATATTCGTTTCAAAATAAAAATTAAAAACCTTAGAATATAAGTGACAAATTCTGACAGTTCGAAATTAAAAGATTTAGATTTAGAAATTTAAATTTAAAATTTCGAAATAAAGAACAAGAATTCACAAAAGTTAGATTTAATGTTAAAAAGTTCAATCTTCATTTAACTTTAAATAAAAATTCAATATTGAAATTCAGAATCAAAAAATTTGAATGTGAAATTAAATTATTCGTCCGTCGCTGAAGATATATAATTCTGGTTTCTATGTCCGATAAACGTTATTTCCAATCAAATGGGCATTAAAGTGAAGGGTTCATTGAAACTTTTTGTTCATCGAGCACTGTCGTTTTAATTTCTTACTCCATAAGGAATATTTTATGCTTATCTGCACTCATGAGCACAGAAACGGGGTCCGCTTCTTCGATGAGCAGTTTTTTGTTAGGAAAAGGGTTATTGAACCGACCAGGTGAACGACTACTGCACACCCAGCAAGCATTTAAAATTCTAGCTGAGTATGCAGTACATTACATCGGCCGCGTTATCAGCAACAGCCGATAACAGTAGCGGTTTCGATGACCGCCTTGAAATCACACTTCCCCTCATGCCCCCTTATTGAGAATCTAAGCAAAACAAACAGAGCGTTATGTAATTAATTGTATAGTAAAAATCATTCCTTGTTAACAATTTTACGCAATCTATGAAGAAAGGAGGTATGACTGGAGAAAAAAGTAATACAAATTTTAATCTTTATTTTTCATTCAAATATTAACCATTTTATGAGAACAATATTTGTTTGAGAAGAAAAGGAAATATTGCCAGTATTTACTAGCGTAAATTTACTAGTGTGATTAACATACAAAGAGATCTTTGCGTTTTCGTTGGACACATGGCAATTATAAATAACGACAGCTGTTTCGTTTGTTGTGTACACCACCTCTGTCAACTAGTTGGTCGACGACGTAAGTGGAGGTATGGACTTAATGAAACGATTATCATCGCCGCCACTTCCAGTTGCGGTCTGGCCACCAGAAGCGAATTACTGGCCTCGCGATAAGGGTTACGACGCGTAGAGAATGCAATAAAACAGTCTCGAAAAATATTCGTCGACGCCAAGACGCGGAAGCTGTTAAAAAGACAGAAAATATTACGAATAAAAGCTGCTAGTAATAAGAGTAAATTACAGATTAAAATCACGACAAGCAAACATAATAGTAATCTTAAATGTATAAACATCGTCTTTAAAAGTTCTGAAGTGAATATGTGTACTGTGATGACAAGTGAAAAGTGAAATAAAATTTCTCTTAGAGATAGACACCCAATGACTCTAATTTAGTATTATAAATATCCTGCGCGACATTTGAAACTCTTTCTCGCGGAAGTATGAAACGTGTGACATTTAAATGTGCCATAAATTTTCTATATTAGTATTTTCATACGTGTGTGCATTAAGTCGTCGCCTTCGTTAAACGAATTCTAAACAAAGACCAAGACAACGCATAATATATTTAATTTATTATTTCGAATTGCGATCTGGTGGTATTCGTATGGAATTGTTTGTAAATATCATTCCGCAATTTACAGCACTTATTCCATCGACGGCGATAGTCGCTTCCATTTTATAAACACAAATGAAAACGTGTGCGTTTCGAACGTTTCTTCAGCCTTGATTTTTCCTAATCGCGGTGGAAGCAATTACGAGTGCGCGTGTATTAAAAATGATAAATGTTAGATAATTTCAATTGTAAGAAGGTCATTCATTATCTACATCCTCATGCCAATGTCAAAGAAGTATTGTCCTGCAATTTATTCGTTCATTTAACTACACTTGGTCAATTTTTATTATATCTTCATATGCGCCACTTTGTGTACATTCAATTGTGGTTGCTGGTAATTTATTTCAAGCATTCCCGGCAATTAGCAGGCACAAAGAATAGAAATTTATATCTAACTTGTCATTCATATCTCTTCGCATTTCACTTGATTCTCTTAACAGTAACAAGTTTAGCAGTAAAACAAATAAAGTTCTATAGGTCAACTTTACAAATTATAATTATATTCTATTGGATTTAAACCTTTATCGTTTTAAACCTTTATCGTTTATTTGCCATTTGTTACAAGTAACAATAAATAAATAATTTAGTCCTAAATTGTTAATACCACTAGTTATTAAAGCATTGTGTGAAAGATCCTGCTAACGAACTTTCGCATTGAAGTTGCCGAGCATTGTGTATTTACAACTTGAAACGAGAGTAATAACCAAGAGAATGAGAAACTAACATTCTGTCACGTTGACGCGCGCGAATTCCGTTTGAATGTGAAATGTTTTCCTGGCGAGTCAGACGTAAACGTATTCTCAATGCCCTCGCGGAACAATATTACTGACATTTCATAAATAATCAACTCTATTGTCAAAAGAGGTGAAACGATCGTACGCACGATGTTTCTTAAACCTCGTACCACCCACAAGAAGTTCCAGTGAGCTCGAATGACTATACTAATAAGTATAATAGCTTAACAGTCACGTTGATGAACCATGAGCTGTAACGTGATGCCTCTGAAGAAGTACGCGGAAATTAGTTACCGCGTGAAATGTGTGGCCGTGGAAAATGAGCGCGTGTTTGGTGACGTGTACGTCACACAACAAACACGAAATTTGCTGTATTGCGCAGATGGATATCAGTTTCCCTCGTTGTATAACAGAAGCAGACGCAATCTGATTCAGAAATCATGGGAAGGTCCGGATTTCATGGAACTGAATCGGAAAAAGCCGATCAGAAGGGCTAGTTGCACGCCGCCCAAAGTGGAGAGAACAAATTTGAAGAGGTCGAAATCTTTGGGTGACACGTGGGACGTAATCGAAACTGATTGCAAAAATGCTAACAATTCGAAAGATGAAAATTACATTTGCAAGCCAAAGGTAGGCTTATAGAAAAATATTAATCCTTGCTCGGCGTAGGTTAGATTATAGATAGGTTGCTGTTACCAATATCGAGTATTTTATTCTATAGGGATAAAGCGAAGAGAACAAGAAAAAGCTTTGTATTCACGTTTTATATCGCGTAAAAAATAAAATTATTCTTGTTGTTTAACAGTATTTTCGTAGGACTACAAATATTTGATACTTTGAATATGAAATGTAAAACCTAATGAAAAATGTTTCGATGAAAAATAAAGGACGTGCTCTAATACTTTTTGTAGGCACTGTAGTTTGGTAAAATATAGTAAAAATACCACGTAAATGTAACTGAGGAAGTAATAGACGTAAAATATGTTTCTAAAAAATTTGGTTCTAAAATCCCCATACAATGCAAATAAGCATATTATTTCTTCCATTCAGACATATCCATCACCGTTACCGAATCCACCCGAGAACAAAAAAGGAACTGTGTCTTCGTTAGTTGATCAATTGTTGCTAGATATTTATGGATTGCCAGACGATGACAGAAGACGGTCAGAAAGTGACTCGACAGCCTCATCCCTGAAGATACGTCCGCAACATCAGCACCTGCAGAAGGCGCGTTTACTCTGGAAAAGTAAGAGTAATTCAATAAGAGTTGGATATGTCGGAGGAAAGAATAGAGCGTTCGTGGGTGGTGGATAAACACGTTAGCTCGAGGACATTTATTGTAAAGCATATTTCTCCCAGAAGCGCAGTAGCTACTCTTAAAAATAAAATTATGGAAGAGAAATGGTTGGATACGTTCCAGTGAAAAACATTTTATTAAAAGAAATACTAGCTTCTATTTTAAAATAAGAATACTTTTGCTGCATCGCGTGAAAAATCGCAATTCTCAACTAAATTTTTCGCGTTAATCACGAATGTCGCTGATGAAGAGCACAGTGCCACTTCGTTTATGATATTTAAACATAATTCAACGCATGAAGTTTGAAATGTGACCGGATTAGGCAAAGATACTTTGGCAGGAGCTGACGAGACAAGAGGTCGTAGAGACGAGACAGACAAGCGACCTCGTTGACTTCGAGGCACGAAGGTTCTTTGACTTGGAGTACTACTTTTTCCTCCTTCTTTTTCCTTCTTTTTTTTAGAAGGAGAAGCACTTCTTTTATCTCTATACGCGATGCTGCTTCATTCTACCTCGTTGAACATACATAAGGAAATACAGAGGAGAGATTACACGTCTTGAGCTAAAACATCACGAAAAACGTAGAAATGATCAAATCGATATAAATCGATACATATATTTATTTCATAGAAACATTAGAAACGCATTAAAAGAAGCAATTATAAATAATTATAAATAAAGATAAAATATATATTTGACGGGTCAATTTTATCTCCTGCTACGTGAAGAAATTAAATTACACGACATTTCATTAAATCTCTAAATTTGATCCGTGACACGTGACAGTTATTCGAGATTCTTTTTAAGCATCTTACGTATTATAGACGATGAGTCGTTCCCTCAATTTTTACCATCTAAATTTTAACGCGGAAGTTAACATAATTTAACTTAGTTATCGAAAACTTTGACGAATTTGCGAGACGAACATGTTTCTGGAATGGCGAAAAGAAACAGTCGGAGGGAGTGCACGCTCATTTCATCGAAGTACGCGAGGAGCATAAGCGGAAGGGTTGGGAAACTTCAATCTTCGGACGCTGTGTACACAGGGTGAGCCCTTTCGGGCCGTTATCAAGATTGCAACGCGAATTCAAAGATTTCTCCAAGTGTCTCGCCTTTTATCCGCGTCAGGATATAAAACACGCGATCCCCAATTTCGAAATAACCCCGTGCAATTCGGAATATTGTACGTGCTCGTTACACTGTAACTCTCACGAGATTAAAAGTTTTTTTCCTGCTCGTTATGTAACGCATGTTGAATTCATTTCAGGTGAGCACGAGCTTCAAGTTTTAGTGCTGAATTTACGCGACCATATTAATCACACTGGTGAAATACTCATTCGACAGTTGCGTCGTAAAGATCATCTCGCCACCAAATGTGAGAAACTATGCGCCATAATTACGGCTCACCTTCTGGCAGTCAGCCCAAAATGCGGTGAGTACATTTTCAGAATTTTTACAATCTTGTTGTTGGTTTTTTCGAACTTCAAGCATGACATAGACGTACGCTTGTATTTCGGTATTCCTTCATTTAGTTTTAAGTTAAGTGATCGTATCGTTTCATGATTTGCTCGCATGATATTTATAACCACTAAAATTGGCTTGGGGGAAAAGAAGTAGCGTTTAAACAAACAGCAACGTTCTTCCAATGTCGACGATAATGTCGCTGGACAAACAATAGAGCTTCATATAATAGGAAAACACAGCTGTTCGCATGGAGTTGCTTCAAGCTCCGTATTTCCCTTTCTGACAATAAAACCGTCGCCGCACAAAAGCGATCTTCGTGTTTCGTCTCGACGCGAGAAACAACCGCGCGATTTATACCGCCTCTTCGTTAACCACTGGCAACTTATTGTTTATCTTATCGTCGTTTTGCATTTATAAATATGGAAAACAGTTGGAACAGGAATTCGAACCGGTGTCCAGATCTGTGGCACAGATACGCAAATTATGTGCATTCTTAAGAAAGACACAAAGTTATATTTTACAAACTTACAAAATTATTCTCATTAAAAATTCTAACACAATATTTAATTTTTTTGATACGAACTCCTATGTCTAATATCTCTAAATTATAAAGGGGGCCTTGGGTTCGATCGTCATCTATTTCAATTAAATTTGTCGCGTCAATAGTTCTATATACAATGAATAAAACATAAAATTAATCAAGTTCGACATTTCATTTTCATAGTATGAAATTTGTGTAGTCAAAAGGCGTCGTTGGATAATACGAAATATAATATACTGGAAATTAATTAATTAATAAGTAAATTCTATAATAAATATAACGGTATGCAAATACATTTTCTAGTCACTACTTTACTAAACAACTTTGAAAGTTCGTGTTTTACGCTGCGTCTGCTGCGCATGCCCGAGAATTCAAAGTTATCGTCCAACTATATGGATTTTTGCTAGCAATTTCAATTTCTCTATTCCCCGATTTTTTATAGAAACCTTGATCTGCTCACCATACTTGCAAAAAATATGGAAAAAATAATACTTAGTATGTGCTGTTATGGAATGAAATTACGTTATTAACACGATCATGTTACTCTATAAGTTCATGTCCATTTTGGAGCAGGAAGGCATTGCTCTAAAATTGTTCACACTTCAGAAAACGTATTATCGATACTTTTAATGTGTTATTATCATGGCGTATCGCGAAAAATATTACGCTGATGGTCGACTCGTCCGGAAAACAAAGAGGGCCTTCTTTTTCACGTGGCACGACGCGCGCTCGGTGATCAATAATTAGACTTTGCCGCGCGTATCGTGCGCGACACGCATGCCCGACGTGCGGTAAGTGCGGCTGAACCTCGCGGCATAGCGTCATTGATAAAGTTTTAATGATGTTGCGCCTGCGAACCGGAAATGCGGAACTTTACTCGGTCTTCTCTTTAACTTTAGATCTGCATTTAGTGCGATGAACCCGATGCATCGCGCGAGCCGATGCACAACTAAACTGGCACGCTCCGACCACTAGGCAAACATTTCATATCTGTGTTTACCTCCAGTTTTGCATAGTTCGCTTATATCGTGTGATATTTTCACATAAGCAATTTTATGGTGGAGTTTTCACCACACGAACGAATGGGGTCATACTGTTATACTTAAAGTCGCTGAAGTGTACTTAAATATACATTATAATGACATTAAAATTTAAAGGTCGTTTACTTGGCTTCACTTAATTTTTATTTTTTAGTAGTTAAACGCCTATTTTAATATATGTCAATTATTTTTCTCGAATGTCGATGACATTTCGCATTCTTTTTATCGGTATTTTCGTGCCTATTATTGGAATCCCTTTTTTAGTACTTTTGCACTCCCTTTTTTTTATTTCTCTTTTTCAGATACTCTTGCACTGCAATTTTTACTGTAGGAATTTTTCTTTTCGATATCTTACGACGGATCTCCTGTATATTGTATATGTAGGTTTTTTTCTTATTGCTAAAATTTCTGACTTCTTGAAAACAATTCTGTAGTAGGATCATTTTTCTGTATGCTCCTGTAAACTTCTCTAAGTCCTCATTTCATTTCAAGGAAGCTCCTACAGTAATAGAACATTTTCCATGATCGATTTTAAATGAATCACTATTGTTAGAAATAGTTACTGGAAAAGGATTCTTCAGACGTAGTCAGATATTCTGAAAGGATGATTTTGGACAAAGTGATCACTGACTGCCCGCAGGGTGCACAATGTCCCGGGCAGGTACTCGATCAGTGGGTCGGTTCAACTTGACCTATAAAGGTCAGCTTCGATCTAGGTACACATAGAAATTGAAAAAGTAATGGATTCGAACAACTCTCGTGAAAAGTGCTGAGAGCCACACATCTTTCCATGAACCTTAGTGTGCGACATTTAATTTGGAAGAGCATCGCCGACTAAGTGCTTCGTGGTACTTCCATACTTTGTAAAGATATATATAAATAGTAGGATCCTTATTGATTTCGGATCCTAACTTCGCCTAATTTTATTAAATGTAATTATCTATATTAAAAAGTTTAAAACTGCAACAATTCTTTAAAAAATATGCGAATGAAATGACTTTATATCTAATTATTGATGTAATTGTTTCTCGTTCTCACTGTGTTTTAATCAATGAACACAAATAGTTAATTAATAAATGCATTTTTAAGGACATGCAATTATTTTCATTCTATATGCAATATCGATTTTTATATTTATATTATTCAATCTTATAATTTTCCTCCTTTAATTTTTGCATTTAACAGATTGTCATTTGAAATAGGAATATGATAGACATTTCAAATAATTTCATTTGGTGTTCAAAATAGGTTGTTTTAATATTATATGCAGTAAGTACGACGAGTACGGCGAGTAAATTATTTGGCATCTAGTCTAGGTAATCAAAAAATCATAAATATTTTTCTGGAACGAGTTTGCACTTAACAGTTTGTAATTCTACATTATCGACTTACGAAGAATTAATCTCCTTCCTGTCATTTATCAATTTATTAGTTTTTATTACCGATTTCACCGTTCCCTTCACTACGATCCTGGTCATGGTATTCGTTTTACTCGGGACAAGATGACGCTTTCGTCGAACAATTTTTCATCCTTAACTCGAGAAACTTATCGACCTCACACAATTTTTCAAACACAGCTTCTAAACTCTGTCCTTTGCCGGAGTGCTTCAATGGCTCAACCGAGCGTGCAAAATATTAAGTAACTGTTTCCAAGCCATTACCCCGATATGCTTGCAAAAGCGGCAAAAACATGGTCTTGCGAAATGAGCGTATCTGCTGAATATATCCGCGCGGATTATGCGTTGATGATTGCATCGATTATCGTGATACCCCTGGCTCGCGTCACGCAGAAAATGCAATTTTTTTCACGTAAATTGTATACACCAGTTTAGTTTTTATATTTAATTCACAACAGCTCAACCTTTATCTTTTAACATGTTTTAAATATTAAATTCTAGCGTTAAATTATTCAAATATTTCGGATTATATTTTGATATAGATTACAATTCTATCATCTCGAATTTTAATCTACAATTTTATTTGGACGATTATATTCTATCACGAGTTGTTACGTCGCGTAACACTCTACCTAGCCCAGGCCACACACCGCGGGCAATATGGCAACCAGATGTCTTCGGATACTCACTGCGTACCCTCAATAGCCTCAAGTATCTTCCATAAATCTCATAGATTTCCTAGTAAAGGTCCTTCAAACCAAACAAACGTCTATTTCCGAAGAATTTCTAAAGACTATTGTCTACCACGGCTGACAAGGGAAAGTTAGTTTTTCTCACGTACGCTGCAACTTTCCTCCCACTAACCACTTTCTCTCGAGGGCGGTTAAGACCCTTCGTTTAACCAATTAACAACGAAGCCTATTCCCTCACTCTCCTGACTAAAATCGTCACCAACAAATCCGATGGTCCTGTACGCCAGACACACCCATCCTTAGCTTTCCTCCGAGACAGCATCGTCTCCCAAGACAGTACTGATTTTACATCCTTCGAACGGTCAACATCCTTCAACCGGGTATACACACCCGTAGATCAGTCACTCATTCATCTCGTACATACGCACCAGTGTAACTGCCTTCGTTATAAGTTGTGGAATAAACAGTGAAATATAACTTACTCTGCTGTGTCATATTCATTTAACCACCTCCGTTATCTTAACCGAAACAGTTCTTCGCGTCTCTCCGCGAACGGTCGTAACACGAGTCATGTATTAAACTTTCCTTTTTGCAAATAAGAAAACAGAAAGCTCGTAAAAAATATTTCTTTCGGTTTCACTAAATAACTACACGCTAAAATTACTAACATTGGCTTGGAAGTATCATCCATTGGAACACGATCATGATGATCGACAGAAAGAATAACCCCGGAAGCTGAAAATAAGCGGTCAGACGAGACTCCAGCTGGATTGAAACGAATTGAATTGGGTCGAATTCGCGCGAAAAGGATCGCGTGTCTCAATCGAATATGGACTTGCAATGTAGCATTGTTGATACGGACAAAGGTAATTCTATCTACAAACGCTAAGCTCGTCTTTAATTCATGTTCGATCAGATTTTCCATGTACGAGATGGGAGTCCTGGAAATGCGATCGAAAGACGTCGATAACTTAAATTTTTCCATTTTCGTCGTTTCTTCCAGTTAGCTTTAAAAATGAATCGTATCGCTGATATCTTGACATTGTTGTTAATTATTTCCGACAGTTGTCAATGTCAACGATAATGCCTAATATTAATGATCATTTCTGATCGAAAGAAAACGAAACGATATACATAGTTCTTTCACATTTCTATTCTTTTATCAGAAGCAAATATTTATATGCGCATATTTCAGACTCTCAATATTTAACTACGGAATGAGTTATCATAAATTTGACTATAGAGTGAATTTTGAAACTCCCAGAAACCTCGTTAAATTTGAATGATATACAGGGTGG